GAAGAAAAGAGTGGGAGCTTTACCTCCCAGTCTTCTGGTGCCCCCTTTATGTCTGGGTGGTACCCACCAGCCCCTGTGTCCCTCCTGTGACAATCGCACATAGGCATACTCGCCGTGGGACCAGCGTGGGTAGGTAGAGGAGAATGGGGTTCATTGTATGTAAAATGAGGATGCTAAAGAAAAGCTGAGAGAGCTGTGAGAAAGGACTGACCAGGGGAAATGGTTAGCAGAGCAAAGAATGAGACCATGACCACTCTCATGACGCACTCTGGTTAACGGGGCTCAGGAAATCCTGGGTATGAAGTAAAAGAGCATAGTAATATATTCAGCCTACTAAATACTTCATTATTGCAAAAAGGGATTTAGGAACGAGGATATACTACCTCACTGAGTTCATAGGTATAGAGGTAGTTGTAAATATATACAGACACACATATATTCTTTCTGATAACCTAGAATATTTTCCCCTAAATTTCTCTTAAGAGTAAGATGGGCACAGGATACATCACACCTGACGGCCTAGATTCTGTAATTAAAATATCTCACCAACTCATCCTAAGATTAATTTAATTAAACTTACTCATTTGGATACAAGGCTATATATTCAGAAGACACCTGCTCAAATCCAGCTATGTGCTTAAAAGGATTATTAGGAGAGAGGAAATACAAAACACGATAGGTCACTCTCTTTGTGGGGCAAGGGAAAAAGGAATAAGGAGAGGAGTGTGGAGAATTTACCAATGTCTGTGCTAGATGTGCCCTTTTGGAAGTTGTCTTAGATACTTTGTGGAATGAGGTATGTTACAAGGAAATACTTGCTGTCAAATACTATCCATCCTTGGGCAGGAGCCATGCTAATCTTCTCTGTATCACTCCCATTTTAGTATATGTGCTGCTGAAGCAAGTACTCAAATAGTATGCATCCCTAACACAGATACAGAAAATCTAGAAAGACCTTTTGGGAGTCAGTTGGAACAAAGGTTCAAAGAAGTGGAGTCACAGTTGGAGAAAAGAGGATGAGGAAGGGACAATTGCATTGTATCATAACATTAACATTCTGATTCAGGGAAGGAAACCTGGTTTTTTCCAGTCCGTGGTATTCTAGTTCCATGTGGATTTTTAACAATACTAGCTAGTCCTGATCTTACCAAATAAACATAAAACATCTGCTAATAAAATAGTTATCTCCAGCACCACTAACCCTTCCCCCCTCCCAAAAAAGAAAAAAAAGAGAAGGAAGGGAAAGAACTTAGTTTTTCATGATCAGTCTTACTTGGATGAATCTCTTCTCTGTGGAAGATGTTATAACTTGCAGTGTAAACGATGCAAATATCCCTTATTTACTTCGTGAAGTGTCACAGCTGAAAAAGCAGGAACTGTGTTTTGAACCCACCAGTCTACAGCTGGAATCCTCCCAATAACGTTTTAGAATTTGTGGTCTACTTTCCATACATGTGGGAAAATGAATCTTATACCCTGTTAAAATTCAACAGGAAATTGAAAGCGCCATGCCTTGTGGCATACTGCATGTTTCATTCGACTAGTCATTTCAAAGTGCTTTTCATCTTTAATTTCCTTGAGAGTGTGCATAGTGAGGTAAAGTTGGTAATTACCCAGACAGACTTTAGGTGTTAAATATTATTCAAACAAACCCAGTAAATGGCATCTACAATAAAGAGTAGGGAAACAAAGAGATTACAGTGTTTCATTCCAACCCGACACCCTCAGGAGAACAGAGAGCACAAGGCAAACCCCTAAGTATTTATATACTCCCTGAGCTGTACTGAGAAAGTTCACAGGAAGCAGTTAAAGACACAGCAACTAAACCCAGCATTTAACTGGATATCTTTGGAATCTTGCTGTTTTGTGCAATTAACGGCCAGATGGAAAATATATCATTATTAGTCAATCTTGATTTTTAATAGTTTGGTTTTTGAGACCACTCTTCTAATGCATGTGCCTCGGAGAAATCTCACGAAAACAGTTTTCCTGTAGGAACTGTATGGCTCAGCTGGTTGATCCCGGTGGTGCAGACACTGTTCACCGCCATGGAAGCACGCAGAGTCCCTGCTGTATCATGCCCCCCCCCGCCCAGGGACCATTTGAGGTGGGGAGGAACTCAAAGAGAGGCTCTGCTATTGTTAAAATGGAGGCAAAGAATGTTGTAACACAGATGCAGCAGCCCAGTCCTCGTGTAGTATTTAACAGGTAAACGACCCGGTGCTGCTTGGTACCCTCAAAAGAAGGTGAGCCAGACAGGCTGTCAGCGGCTGCAGTGGGGAACCTGGTGCCCTAAAACCATCCACCAAGAGTTGCTTCCCCAAGTGTCATTTTATCCCCTCCATGCTGCCGTCCGGAAGCTAGCTCAGCTCCTATACCACCTGGGAGCTTACGGACATCATCCGGTTAGAGGTCATGCTTTCCCTCCTCGCGTTTCAGTTACACTGTTTACCCATCCCTACTGGCCCTTAAAACGTTCTGCACGTCAGGACCAGTAGTATACATGTCTGTCTTTCCCACTAGTTTGTGTGTTCCTGGAAGGAAAGAAAGGAAAGGTCAAAGATTCATATTGTCTCTTTCCCACATTAGGGGCTCAGTAATAACAAAATGACATTTACTGACTGAGTGCTGATATGTTGGGCACATGACTTATTTAATGCTTACAACTGTGCACCCCTAATGGTAAAGAACATGAGCTTTGGAGCCAGACCACCTGTGTTCAAAGCGTCCTTCCCATGCTGTCAACCAAACACCCTTGAAACAGGTGGGGTTTTAACGCAGGTCTCATTTACATCCTCAACTCTGTTCTACCTCAGTAGGTATCTTTTAATTGAATTAGACCCACTGGCCAATAACCAAACTCATTATTACTCCTTAGCACTAAACAATCCTAAGGCTACCCCACTAACTTGTGACTTAAATGTACATAGGTTTTTAGACCTATGTAATGGATAGTGATTTAGCTAATCATATCAATAATACTAATTCTTTACATTTCTTTAGTATTTTGCTGTTTTCACAGTCCCTTCACATAAATCGTCTCAACTGGTCTTCACTGATCCTTGTGAGATGGACAGGATGGATGGCTGTCATTTTCCGCCTTCGAGTGATGAGTATGCTAAAGCTAGAGAAGCTCAAGGCTTGACCATTGCCCTATAGCCAGAGATTGTCAGGGCTACAACTGAACTAAGATCTTCTAAATCCACGCACAGGGTTCTTGCCTCTACCTTGCCGTGTCCCTCAGCACCACTTACATGCGTATGCATAAACTCACTTGAGGACTCCAAGAACCAGGTGCCGTGCCAGAGCCTTCCCTGGCTCAGATAGTCTGGTAACCATAGCAATTGTCGCTCTCCTCATGGCAAATGAGATCACCCAGCATGCACTGGCTCTCAAGATTTGAGTTGGAAGAGATGAGGCATTTCCCACAGAGGGCCATTAAGTTTGGAATTCCCTTCCCCTGGTCTGACATAGCCCTGGAGTATTGGTCTTCTGGGTCTTTGCAAACCACATCAAGTTGAGTTAGCCAGCTGTGATTGGTAAGAAATCCTAATGGGCAGGAAGAAAGTGCTAAATTGACTTTTAGTTGTGAGCAATTTGTAATTTTGTGTTTTTTTGCTGTTTGTATCCCTTAGGATAACTAACGAGCCATACATAATTTTCATTCTTTAGAAATACGATTTTAGTCAGCAGTTTGCATGATTTTGTTTCTGTGTTCTTACATCATGTCACACATGATGTGATGGAGAAACCTATGGGGAAGTTTTTGTTCCTTTTGCATAAACTATTTTGCAGTAATTGACCAGCCATAGAGAAAAGATTATCTCCTGTGCATGCTCAGTGAGTTCTCTGGTCACCAGAGACCAATAAGCTGTGTCCCTAGAACTATTATCACTTTGTTGAAGGAGCTGCTATGTGAACAAAAACCAGCCTTCGTTGATTTCCCTTTTCGTATTTAAAAAACCTTGTCAGTATTTCCCCTTTGGGAGGATATAATTTGTCAATAGTGCATATTATTTTAGTTCTAAAGAGGAAAGATGCATGGCAGTAAATTCCTACTAATTTCTTATCTTAGTGCCAGATCTTAATGTTTCCACTCAATGAAATATAATTCCCCACATGTTTAATCATATTATGGTATACATGTCTTAAATTTAACTTCAGAGAAATATAAAATTGTAAAATGTAGAACACTTGAGATGCATTTTAATTCCACACCACCCACAGTGCACGCGCACATGTACACACACATATACACACACACACAATTTAACTGCTAGAAGAACTGATGGGTGCAGTGGTTGGCCTGAGCCCACCTGGTAGTCAGTGTGGAATCAGGAGCTTATATTAAGCTCAATCTAGTGCTCTTTCCTTCATAGCCTGCAGAGTGTTTATCTGTTTTAGCTCTCCAACTGCTTTGTAAGCTTCTGAAAGCAGATTTGGTCCTTGTATGTCCTCATTAAGCTGCTTGGTCAATGCCTGTTAACCAATGTCGGACTTCGTTCCCGTGTTACGGGAGCCTCAAATGTTACACATTCCTTCCATTATCTGGTCATTTTGATTCAGCCTCTTCTGTAGACAGAAAAAAGTTGGGGAACGGTCAAGTGATCTATGGTAGAAAGGAATCTGATTACACTTGACCATCATTGCTTCTAAACATCTCTCCTGAAGTTGAAAATTGTTTTAAGGAATAGTCTCAGGAATTTCAAGTTATTTATCAGTGGTTAAAATTATCTCACATGTTTGGTGACCAGGCTGCTATTACATGTTATTCTTTTATCTTAAACAAAACAAAACACTTTGTGTATTATTTCCAGCAATAGAAAAGGACCTTAGAGCTCATCTTCAAAATGGAAGAGTAAACATTACATTACAAGTCAGCCCCTTAACTGTCAGTTTATTCATTGTGGACTTTTGTGCTGTGGGAGAAGTTGGTCCAGAAATTATTTGCCCTGTTATTAATTTGTAATATTCTAAATACTCACTATAAACGATTACAGTTTGTTTCAGTGTTGGAAGGGGTGTTATCTAAGCTGTCAAGATATGATGAAGGCACTTTCTTTTCATCCATTCTGTCATTCACTGTAAGTATTTGAATGAGTTCTCTTCTGCTGTCTTTTGGCTGTTGTCATAGTACTTACCCAACAGTTAAGAAAATAATTCTCATAATTATCTCTTTTCCACTTTTCCACTATATATAATAGATATAATAATATCTATTATAAATTGATAATTTTTCTTTTTTCATCATGATAAATGTACTCTTTAATCTGCATCCCCTACTTCCCCCATCCCCCCACCCACCTCCCCTCTGGTAACCATCCGTTTGTTCTCTGTAGTTAAGAGCATAAATGGATATTTTAAGGCACTTTTCTTTTGATCCATTCTGTCATTCACTGTAAGTATTTGAATGAGTTCTCTTCTGCTGTCTTTTGGCTGTTGTCATAGTACTTATCCAACAGTTAAGAAAATAATTCTCATAATTATCTCCTTTCCACTTAAGGTAAAAGCAGCTGCAAAATATGTCGATGTTCCAGTAAGTATTTTTTATTTGCTTTTAAAAACTCTGTGTGTGTATGTGTGTGTATAATTCTTTTTAAAATAATTATGGTTTTATTTCAAATCTTTAAAGCATTGAGTGTCATTCCCTCAGGGAGCAGTTTATTTTCCTTAAGCAAGTGCTAACCCTCATAAGAAGGCTTGACGTGTGATTATTTCAGTGTACTTTTTCCATTTTAACTTGGGAACTTTTATGGAGTTCAGGTCATTACGAGAACATGTCAGCTCAGTTGCAGAGGGTCATTCTAATATTCTAGGACCGGGTAGTGAATGCCTCATACTATTTATAGAAAAATGCTCACTCTCTCTTCCCTTTGTATGGAAGCTGTAACAGGTTTCTTATAGGAGTTAAAGTGACAATAAAGATGAACCAGTTAAAGAACTAGTTTTCTAAATACGAAAGTGTTATAAATCAATATTCACCTATTTTAGCATTTGGTGTTTTGCACAATGCTTGGGAAATAATTCGCAACCTGTAAATCTGTTCAAAGATTAGGATACCATGAGCTACAATTATAGAAAATTCACATAATAAATATAATCAACAAGTTAGTGCAGCATTTTTAAATTGATAATCCTAACAAATTACTTTTTGCCTTCATCCTATTATCACATAAGTGATGAGGCCTAATACGTTCTGTTTAATCATATATCTTGGCATGTGTATCACTTTTCAAAGAATTTGAGCACAATGAAAATAAAACTTACAAATTAAAACTATAATGTAAGTCATCTTATCTTTGCTTAAGATTGTGCTTGGCTAGCATCCCATCTAGATTGTCATCATGAATGTCGGTGGTTTAAGGACTGGCAAACTGTGTAGCAGTTGTAGATAGCTCTTACTTTTAAAATGCAGAACCAAATTTTATACTATGGACTAAATAGTCCCCAGATTTATTGCTTCCATAATTATTATAAATTGATAATTTTTCTTTTTTCATCATGATAAATGTACTCTTTAATCTGCATCCCCTACTTCTCCCATCCCCCCACCCACCTCCCCTCTGGTAACCATCTGTTTGTTCCCTGTAGTTAGGAGTATAAGTGGATATTTTAAATGACAAGGCCATGGACTTTCCTGCCTTTGCATAAGGTTTCTTTGGAACAAGGCTTTTTTATTTCACAAATGATTCCCAAAGAATTTTTTGTATACTCCTTGTCTTGTGCCTCGAATCAGAAAATCAGCACTGGGCAATAAGCAGAAATAATCACAGGTGTAGGGTCTTGCAAAATGACAGCACAAAAGAGAGAAAGGGAAAATTAAGGAGAGTTTATATTTCCTATCTTAAAAAGAAAGAGACAAATCATCATAGGAACACATGAAATTCATTGGAATTCCTAACATTTTATAATACAGCTTTGTTTTTATTTTGAAATACAAGTGGAATGGGACACCATAAATATTTCTGTTCCTAGGGCTTTTGAAGTTTTGTTTTTTATTTTAAGATTTTTTTTAATCTATTTTTTTTAGAGCGAGCACGAGTGGGAGGGGCAGAGGGAGAGGGGGAGAGAATCTCAAGCAGACTCCACACTGAGTGGAGAAGCCCAACTCGGGGCTCAATCTCCTGACCCCTGAGATTATTACCTGAGCCAAAACCAAGAGTTGGATGTTTAACCAACTGCACCTCCCAGGCGCCCCAGGGATTTTGAAGTTCTTAATTTGACCATGTACTAGATCTGTTAGGCCTTATTATGGAGCTTCAGAGTTGATAGATGCAGAAGGTAGTTCATTCATTCTCCTTCTCAATGCAGAAACTGCCTCTTCTGATATCCCTCACAAAGATTCATTCAGGCTCTTTTAATTTTCTCAGTGATTGCAGGCTGACCATGAGGCAGCCTCCTCTTATGTGTAATGAGTTGAAATTCTGTACCTCTGTGAATTCTACCTTGGTTCTAATCCCTCTTCTGCATGATAGCCCTTCAAATATTTGATAATAATTAATCATGCCTCCTCTTCCCAAAGGATGTGGTGGCTATCCAAAGGGATATATTGTCTGAGGAATTCTTATTTTCTATATGAGACATCTTTAATTTCTTCACTGAACTCACTAATTAAATATTTATTTAAACACTAAGTGCTGGGTCCCGGGCTTAACATGATGAAACTATACATTGACTGCCCACAAGCCATTCAGTGTCTAGGATGAAAGAGTCAGAGAAATAGACATACATTAAAACTGCTATAGCAACTGTACCCAAGCTCTTTATCATGCCAGTCACTCTTCACTCTCCAGATGGGTTCAGCTTACCAGTGTCATTATTAAATCACGTAGCCCCACTGCCCCAGCAGAGTACCCTAAACCATAGACATGGTCTGGTCATGGCAGATTACTAAGGGAGGAGTTTCTCCCTCAGATCTGGACATTATGCCTCTATTACTGATGCCTGTGAATATTAACTTCAACAGCCAGAAGTTGCTGTTGACTGTTAACTGGTTTTAATGCTAAGACCCAGGCAAATATGCCTCTCTAAAGCAGTCTTTTAAGGAGAACCTCATGAAGAAAAAGAACACTGGTTCGTCTTTCACAAAAACTAACTCAAAACTGATCAAAAACCTACCAGTAAAATGCAGATGATAAAACTTCTAGAAGAAAACACAGGAGGAAATATATGTGGTCTGGGGTTTGGTGATGAAGTTTTAGGTACAACACCAAAAACATCCATGAAAAACTATGTAAATTGGACTTAATAATTAACTACTTCTGCACTGTTAAGAGAATGAAAAGAGAAGCCAGAGACATATTTGGTAAAAAACTTGTATCTAACAAATACAGTGGCCTGAAGGGGCACATGTACCCCGATGTTTACAGCAGCAATGTCCACAACAGCCAAACTATGGAAAGAGCCCAGATGTTCATCAACAGATGATGAATGGATAAAGAAGATGTGGTGTATATATATATATATAATGGATGTTTACAGCAGCAAAGTCCACAATAGCCAAACTATGGAAAGAGCCCAGATGTTCATCAACAGATGATGAATGGATAAAGAAGATGTGTGGAATATTATGCAGCCATCAAAAAATGAAATCTTGCCATTTGCAACAACGTGGATGGAACTAGAGGGTATTATGCTAAGTGAAATAAGTCAATCAGAGAAAGACAAGTATCATATGATCTCACTGATACGAGGAATTTGAGAAACAAAACAGGATCATTGGGGAAGGGAAGGAAAAATGAAACAAGACGAAACCAGAGAGGGAGACAAACCATAGGAGACTCTTAATCTCAGGAAACAAACTGAGGGTTGCTGGAGTGGAGGGGGGTGGGAGGGATGGGGTGGTTGGGTGATGGACACTGGGGAGGGTATATGCTATGGTGAGCGCTGTGAATTGTGTAAGACTGATGAATCACAGACCTGTACCCCTGAAACAAATAATACATTATGTGTTAATAAAAAAAAGAACTTGTATCTAAAATGAACAGAGAACTCTTAATACTCAACAGTAAAAAAACAACTCAATTTGAAAAATGGCAAATAATCAGAATAGACACTATAACAAAGACATACAGTTATCACATAAACATATGAAAAGATGCTAATGTCATTTGTTGTTAGGGAAATACAAGTTAAAACAATGAGGTACCCCTACATACCGATTAGTGTGGCTAAAATTTAAATTTAAAAAAATTGACAATAGCAAGATGTCGACAAGGGACTCTCATCATTGCTCATGCAAATGTATTATGGTACAGCCACTTTGGAAGACTGGCAGTTTGTTACAAAGCTAGACAGTCTTACTATGCAACCCATCAATTGCACTTCTAGGTATTTATCCAACTGATTTGAAAATGTACATCCACATCAAAACCTGCACACAAATATTCCTACCAAACTTATTCATAATCGCCAAAAATTGGAAGCAACCAAAATATCCTTCAATAGATGAATGAGACAATTGGAATAGTATCCAGAAAAAAAAAAAAAAAAAAGGAAAGAAAAAGAAATTGGCTAACAGGCCACACAAAGATATAGATGAATCTTAAAGGCCTATTGCCAAGTGAAGGAAGCCGGTCTGAGAAGGCTACATACTATATGATTCCATTTATGTCACCTTCTAGTACAGGCAGAACTATAAAGATTATAAAACAGATTAGCGGTTGCCATTAGTTCAAGGTCAGTGAAGCAACTAGGTGAAGCCCAGGAAACTTTTAGGAGCAGTGAAGCTATTCTGCGTGACACTGTAATGGTTACATGGTATTATGTATTTGTACCTAACTTTACTGGGGCGCCTGGGTGGCTCAGTCGTTAAGCATCTGCCTTCAGCTCAGGTCATGATCCCGGGGTCCTGGGATCGAGTCCCGTGTCAGGCTCCCTGCGCAGGGTGAAGCCTGCTTCTCCCTCTCCCACTCCCCCTGCTAGTGTTCCCTCTCTCACTGTGTCTCTCTCTGTCAAATAAATAAAATCTTAAAAAAAAAAAATCTTACAGCAAAGACTGAACCTGAACATGGGCAAATGTTTAAAAGATCAATTAGGATATCATGGAATCCCATGACGGAAAAGAGATTGTGATTTTTTAAAAATCTAATTCTATTGCAAATATGTGGAATAACCTCACTGAAAAAGATGGAGGAAAAAGTGCTGATTTGAGTGACTTTGGAAATGACTGGAGTCTGTAATAATAAAGGAGAAAGGAACTGTACATAAGCATGGTGGTCTAGTTGATAAAGTGTTTCCCCACAGGCTAACAAGTCAGAAACCACTGTGCCTATCCACTGGAAGTGAATGATTAAGTACAGGGACAGAGTTTGGTGAAAGCCAAGTTTCTCACTGTTGGAATAAGAGGTTGGAGACAATAGGCAGGGAATGATCTAATGTTGTTTCGTCTTATGGTATCGCTGATGAATGGATAAAGAAGATGTGGTATATATATACAATGGAATATTATGCAGCCATCAAAAGGAATGAGATCTTGCCATTTGCAACGACGTGGATGGAACTGGAGGGTATTATGTTGAGTGAAATAAGTCAAAC